GACTGGGGGGGATTTGGAGGGTTTTGGGGTGTCCCCAGGGGGTCAGGTGTGTTTTTTGTGCCCCCCAAAAAGGACGACCTGCACGTGGTGGAGGATCTGGAGTTGCCCAGCGGGGACCCCCAGTACCTGCAGGAGCTGGCCCGGCACCGGCACTGGGGACACTCCGTGCTCATCGTGGACGTGTGAGGGGACACCCTGGGGACAGTTTGGGGACACCCTGGGGTCACCCTGGGGTCACTCTCACACAAGGGGGACACTTTGGGGGACAGGGGGACACTTTGGGGGACACTTTGGGGACACCCCTCGCTGGTTTTGGGGTGTCCAGGAACACTCTGGGGACGCTCAGGGGACAGGGGGACACTTTGGGGACCCCTCTCGCTGGTTTTGGGGGGGTTTGGGGGCTCCCGGGGGTCCCCAAATCCTGATTTATTCCCCCCACCCCCCCCTTTCAGGAAGGAATTCCCAGAAAACATCCGCTCTGCAGCCCAGGAGCTCAAAACCATCACCCTCATCCCTGCCCTGGGTGAGTTTGGGACCCCCAAACCCCCCCCCAGGGACCCCAAAATCCTCCCAGAGACCCCAGAATTGCACCAGAGACCCCAAAACCCCTCCAGGAACCTCCAAAAAATCCTCTCAGGGACCCCTAAAACGACCCCAGAGACCCCCAAACCTTCCCCAGAGACCCCAGATTTTGTTTTTTTTTTTTTGGTTTCTCTGATTGATCTTTTTGCGTTTTCTGACTCGATTTTTGACCAGGTTTTTTGGCTTCCCTGACCAGATTTTTTGGGGTTTTCTGACCAGATTTTTTGGCTTCCCTGACCAGATTTTTTGGGGTTTTCTGAACAGGTTTTTTGGGGTTCTCTGACCAGATTTTTTGACCAGATTTTTTTGCTTTTCTGACCAGATTTTTTGACCAAACTTTTGGCTTCTCTGACCAGACCTTTTTTGTCCTCTCTGGTGGATTTTTTGGGGTTCTCTGACCCGACTCTTTTGAGGTTTTTTTTTTCCCCTCCTCCTCCCGGATTTTTTTTTGATTTTCCCACCTCAATTTTCTCCTTCCCCGCCCGCCTTTGCCTTCAGGCATCACCCTGGGGGTGCTGCTGAGGGGGTCTCTGCCCTGGGGACCCCCCCAAAATCCCCTTTTCCCCCCCAATTTTCCAGGGCTGAACGTTCACAGCCTGCTGAAGCACCAGACCCTGCTGCTCACCCTGGACACGGTGACCTTCCTGGAGCAGCGCCTGCTGTGGCACAACCGCCGCTTCTCCCCCCTCTACTCCTTCTCCAAACCCTACAGGGACTTCCCTGAGCCCCCCCTGGGGGGCTGAGACCCCCCTGGGTGGGTTAAACCCCCCCCCAGAATGGGATTTATCCCCCCTAACCCCCCCCAGGAAATGATTCTGGGGGGTCCTGGATGCTCTTGTGGCTCAACCCCCCCAATTCCCAGCCCTGTATCCCTTCTCCAAACCCTACAGGATCTTCCCTGAGCCTCCCCTGGGGTGGGATGAGCCCCCTCAGATAGGATGAGACCCCTCTGGGTGGGTTAAACCCCCCCCCAA